GACGTGGAATCCCGTTACAGCCAAACCGAGCGGGAGATGCTTGCCGTGGTATACGGTGTGGAAAAATTTCACATTTACCTATATGGCTCCACATTCAGCGTCATCACCGATCACAAGCCCCTACTGGGAATCATCAGCAGCTGCAAGCCTGCATCAGCTCGCATCGATCGCTGGAGACTACACCTTATGCCATACCAGTATACTCTGACATACAGGCCAGGCAAAGATGAGGCAAATGCAGCTGATTATCTCTCTCGCCACCCATCAACTCGACCAACAAGGGATAACGACGGAGAGAGCTACATCAACTACGTAGTCAACACATCTGTCCCTAACGCTCTTTCTCCTGAAGAGGTCAAACAAGCTACTGCCTCTGACAAGACTCTGCAAAACGTCATGACGGCTATCACAACTGGTAACTGGGACTCCACATCTGTCTCACCATTCAAACCAATCAAAGACGAACTGACCATCCATGACGGAATCGTCTTGAGACAGAGCAGAATCTTGATCACAGACTCCCTTCAAGTGCGAGTTGTCAAACTAGCTCAGAGTGCTCACCAAGGCATCGTCAAGACAAAACAATTGCTTCGAGAAAAAGTCTGGCCTCAGGAATCTACAGACTGGTAGAGACACACCTTACGGGGTGTATTCCCTGCCAATCAGCAACCTTTGGCCCTAAACAGAGAGATCCGATCAAGACTACACGACTGCCCAAGCGCCCTTGGGATGAGCTATCTGCGGACTTGGCAGGTCCCTTCCCTTCTGGAGAACTTCTCCTCATAGTAGTCGACGATTACAGCAGATTTCCTGAGGTTCAAATTGTCAACTCAACCTCTGCTCGCACAGCCATCCCAAAACTGATGGAGATGTTTTCACGATTTGGCACACAAAGTGTGTTGAAGACTGACAACGGTGCGCCATTCAACTCTGGTGAGTTTGCAGCCTTCACTAGGCTTCAAACACCGGAAAATTACTCCACTATGGCCTGAAGCGAACAGAGAGGCTGAAAGGTCCGTACGAACCTTGAACAAGTTTGTTCATGCA